AAATAATCTCAATGGTAAACAGTTTCACTCACCAAAAATACAATTGGAGGGTTACCAACCAACGCAATGGCAGTGCTGAGTTTTCGTTTGTTTCCACCGCTGCGAATTAAAAACAGTACAATGCACATTGTAGAGATAACATACAATGTTAATGAAGATCTTCATACAGTTACAATCTGCATACAACACGACACGAATTTGTAATCCTATGATTTCGGTATTGATTTTCCAGTATTCCTCCATCATCGAAAGTCATTTATTGAACCGAAAAGCTACAAAAATGTGGCATTGATTCCCTATACAAAATGAACGTGATTTCAATGTGGCTTACTGGTTTTAACAATCACAGAACACAGCCAGAACTATCGTACAGTGGCTGTCTAATAGTTGTTCACAGTTAGCTTTCTTATTTGCATTACAATGCTATCCAACGTGGATGCGAGGTAATTTCGCCAGGCAGAACCTACAAAATTGTCCGTAATTGCCTCACATACATGTAAGCTTACGTGTTAGATTATATTACAATGTAAATGAGGAAAGTTAACCGTAAAAAGGGCTATCAGTAACTTTTCTCACCTGTAGTCTCCACACAGTTTATCTGCCCAGTTGGTCAAATTTAAGTGCTTTATAGTAGCAGAAACCAAGTTTTCTATCTTATTTGATGGCACACCCCGAAGACGAGCGTACATTGTGAGCATTTCACGGCCAGTTAGACGTTCAATGAGGGCATCAAACTGAGGATGAAAATTGAGATAGAGGAAAACCTCGTGTATTTAACTACAGTCAACCTAAATGAGTTAAAGGATACCAAACTTAACAGTTGGTTGGTTAACAATAACCTTGTGTCTAAAGAGCTCAGTCACGGTATTTTGAGTTATTTTGGCGCGTACAAAATTACCTTTAAATTGAAGGAAAACTGAAAATAGTAGTTAGCTAAGATAGAAAAACACCAAAGAGATGATAATAGACCATAATGGAACAAGGATGGTAAAGGATGGAGAAGATTAACACGGATTACAAACAACGAACTTGAAAACTTTGGGCTAAACTTTTAAGATGCGCAAACCGTGACTTAGCTCCTTTGAACGTCAGTATAGAGACAATATGGAGCATCTAATATGATTGAATACACATGCGTCCACATGGAAATGCACTTTAATTACGTGATATGACCTGGGTTTTTATGAAGGCAAGTTATTAGACCTTTTTGGAATTGCTCTCACACCAGATTTTGTAATCATAACTTTAAGAAAGTGAAGTATCAGACCTTACACAGATCGGGTGGTAACAAGCGTTTGGTTATTTACGGGTGTAGCCTTAAGTAAAAAATCGAGTAAATAAGAGCAACTGACCTGAGGGCAATAACCAATCCTCTGCTGGACCTGAAATTAGACACGAGTTGTATTGGTGAACAAAGTAACTGCTCTGCCTTGTGTAACTGTTATCATCAAAACTGGATCATTGGATAATGCAATTCCAGAGTTTTCATTGGCTTAGCCATCATGGGTTATGAGCCATTATACCATGCTCTACAGATATGATAAGCGTATTAAAGCGTACGCGTGCTTTTGGGGGGCGTTTTTACTTTTATTTTAGTTTAGTTTGCTATATTTTGAGGGCGCGCTTGTTGAATATGAGATGATTATAGCTAACTCATATCCAAAGTGAACTCATTGTTAAATAAACCTTAAGAGCACTGCATGTAGTTCTAGCTAGCTAACAAACCTCTCTTAAGTTTGTCTGAATGTTGAATCCATCCAGGAAGGCAGTCCCTTCAGTGATGCTCAGATCTCCTGTCAACATGCTGAATGTTGTGGTCTTACCAGCACCTAGAAACACAACAAATCAATCACTAACCTATTTCAGAACCAAGCTCAAAACAACGAGCAATTCTCCATTAACTCGTGTTTAGATAGTTCAATATCCACTCTAACAGGACAGGAAAGAGTACGCCACAAAAGCGAAAATATCAACATTTGATTTCAGATTCCTCTTACCATTTATTCCGAGCAAACCGAAACATTCACCACGAGGAATTCCCAAGCACAGATGATCAACAGCAGTGACTCTTGTACCACCATACACCTGAACACAAAATAACCAAATTTAACCCCACTGTTTACTCTAGCAGTCGAGCCTCGGTTGTTCAAAGGGTGGTCACCGCTATCCAATGGATAAATCGCTCTCCAGAGTGGATAGCGTAGTTTGCTCGATTTATCCAGCGGAGACCGTTTTTTGTCCTTTGAACAACTGAGCCCAGCTCCAAACTTCGCTGCATGTTTGCAACACTTGCTTTCTCACCTTAGTCAGGTCTTTGAGCACAACAGACTGGGCCCCAATCGCATCAGATGACATGTTTTGAATACGCGCTCGCTCGTTGTAGACATCTTCATCCTGTGAAACAATAATTTATAATTGCAGTTTAAACCCCGTGCTAAATAAGTATACCATGGACAAAATACCTTCTGTGACACTTACATGTGCACTAGGCCATTTTACAATTGTGTTCTTAGTTACCTGGCCTATGAATTCGAGCGAGGCTGGAGGAAACCTTGCTTTGATACAGACCTCCTGGCTTTTCTCATCTAAATGCCAATTAGTAAGCATAAGAACAACTTGATTTACACAACAAAAGCAGTGGGGTCTTCATCAAAACAAGATCACCTCCAGCCTCGCTGCCATTCAAAGGCCAAGTCACTGAGCTGTAAAATGGTCTATTGTTGATTTTAAATAAAAAATTCTCAAATGCTGAATTTTAAAACGTCAACTTAGGGGCCCTACCTCATTGCCTTGTCGTTGTGATCCAGCCGCCCTGCTAGACGTTCTCGTTCTGGCACCGATAAAGAAACGCACCTGAAAAAAGGTAATAGTATAAATATCCAAACGGTAACTTCGGTACAACACCAGTAGTGCGATAACCATACACTAGATCAAAGCAGAAACCAAACTGCACTACAGCAGAAAGTCAGCTAAGTACAATTTATGTTGTTTTTACAGATTATTTTCTATATCATAGCTCTTGTCTCACCTCAATTAGCAAAACCAAAATGAACAGCACGACCGCTTCCACAAATAAATACAGAGCCATTTGACCAATCCCTGGACGCTCCCATGACAAGCCATTGTCTGTATATACTACCCCTTGTACTGTACATGCTCGTGCGGCACTGGTGAAAAGAAAGAAGAAACACCACTCAGTATTAAAGCGACATGTCTCCAAGTCTGACTAGAGACAAATACTTCCTTCTCTCGCAAATATCTACATGTAGGTTTAGTAAGCTATACCACAATGACGAAAGTTTGTTTAAGACATCTCGAACCAGTGTCCTGATGTCCGTGTACTTACTCAGGAGATTCGTTACACACTTTACGGAATCCGTAGTTTTGGTTGAGGTCCACAAAGCTGTATGCAAGCCTGTAAAGACAACATTCAATAATTACTGTGAACTCTAACTACACACTCTCCAGACACTTGTAACAGGAGTGGAATATCTGCAAAGTCTATTGTTTTTCTATCCTGGAACGTTTTGTCAGAGGAAACACTGAAAAGAGAATGGTCATTCTCAAAATAGAGGTTAGGTACAAGACACCAAACAGGAGACCTTGCTCACTCTTCCTCAATGTTCGGTACCAGTTTTTGCCCTGCACGTTTTTCCTTGCAATTTGCTGCTTTACTTTGTTTGCTTTTTGCTCGATAATCCAGTATAGTAGAAAAATTAGAATGTCCTGCTAGTCAAATCAGTCTTTCAAAAGTAGACTATTGAAGAACTGACGAACAGTTGCCCCTGTGATCATGACATATGTGATTCACTAATGACACATTTTTCATAACTAGACTGTAAATATTTTTGTTTGGTTTTTCATGCTTGGTCAGTTAATAATGCAGAGCACCTCTAGTATAAAGCAGTCAATCAAAGCAATGTTAGACGCTGAAATAAAATACACACGCACACGGGCAAAAACAAAAAAACCATTTACAATCAAAAGCCGGAGCCCAGAATACTTACGTGTAGGTCGGGATCAACATGAACACGTAATGCATAATCTTCGCCTCCTCCTCGAGTTCTAACGATGGTAATTGCAAGACAAACACTGTGATCAACATCGCCTGAAAGGTAACAGATATGGACAATCATAACAAGTAAAAGAAACATGTTCATTGGAATTAAAATAATAAGGTTAAACGTCATGACTGACCCTTCTGAAATCTTAGATGTCCGTTGACCACAAAATCGTTTCCTTTGAACTGTTAAAATGTCTAAGAACCGCAGAATGGTTTTAGATGACAACATATAACAATTTTTCTGGCACACTGTCTTTTTAGTAATATATGCGAAACCACATAATACTGTAAATGTTTTCCAAATAAAATGCAAATGAGGCTTTTCCTAATAAAGATAATGCTTTATAACACTGTTTGCATGATTAGCCCTTGTTCTTTTCATTGGGTTTCACTCACTTACCAGACTGAGAATGGAGAGTACAAACACAGTCAGAGCATACCCAACCAGAGGAGAGGTGAATATAAATGACAGGCAGTAAACAAACGGCAACACGCACAAACCAAACAGAATCTGCAGGAGAACAAATGGTACATTTAGTGAAAGTGTTCAAGGTCAATAAAATGCTGAATAACTACGTACAACCTGAGTAGCTCCTTTCCCCCCTTCGATTTAGGGCCCAAGGGCGAAGCACTCGACAGCAAAACGAAATCGAAAAAAAAGTTCGAAATCGAGATCGTTGTCAAGTCGTTAGCACATTTTGTTACACGATTTAAAAGGAAGATGAAAAGTTTTAAACTTTATTTGCAATTTTCTACCTATCAAATCCCAAGTAACTGGCAATGCAAGCCTGCATGAGATGGTGACTTTGGTCGACTTACCAGCATTAAAAAGACAATGCCTAGTTCATCCTTGTAAGAATCCACTTGAAATGCCGCAAACAAAATAAGGATACCCAGAGCAGGAACTAAATAGTTGAGGAGATCCCAGGTGTAAGTGGCAAACCAGTAACTAAATACATCCACTCCACTGACAAACTGAAGGTGCTTTGCCTGAAATAACAACATCAATTACCTAGATTTAATTTCTAGTTCAGAACGTCAGTTATCATTACTTTTA